GGGTCCCTGGGGTGGGTGATGGGTTTGTCCCGTGCAGCAGAGGGTGCTGAGCGCCCGAGGGGTGCGGGATGCGGGGATGCGGAGCTCTGTGCCCCTCCAGTGCATCCCTGCAGGGCATCCCCCGGTGACTCCTGGGTTTTCTTCCAGTGCTTTGCCCAGTTCCCCAGAGCAGAGGAGGCTCGGGTGAGTGAAGCGTGGGGCTGAGCCGCTACCCCAAACTGACCCCCCTACCCCATCCCCAGGGTGGTTCCTGCTGGGGCAGGACACAGCCCTGTACCCCTGCTGTGGGAGCAGCCGGGGCTGTGGGGAGCAGAGGTTGCTTGGGGGGGGCACTTGGTGGGGTTTGGCCATGGGCAGAGCTGGTCCTGGCTCCTGACGTGTCCCTGCTCTCCATAGGGTGACAGCCCTGACTGCGTGGGTGACCCTGGGCTGCCAGGAACCCCGGGCATCCCCGGCGAGAGAGGCGAGCAGGTGGGTGCACTCTCCTGGACCTGCTCCCCTGGACCCCCCCCTGCCATCCCTGCCCTTCCTGGTGCCCATGGTGCCCATGGCTGGTCCCAGGGAGCTGGAGCCAGGCCATGTCCCTGTCCCCATCCCCATCCCCTGGCCATGGTCACATCTGTCACCGCCATCTCTCCCCAGGGCTCACCAGGACTGCGGGGACCCCCAGGGCCACCCGGGCCTGTTGTAAGTAGCCCTGCCCAGGGCGAGGGGCTGCTGGGCTGTGTGGGATTCATGTTATGGACCTGGGGGGCTTACAGCCCCCCACTGCGAGTCACCAAGGGACCCTGCTGCCCTGCCCCGAGGCCACAGTGATGGGCAGAGGTGCGGCATAGCGTGGCTGTCCCCCGGCGAGGCTGGAGATGGAGGTGAAGGCGCTGCCGACCTGAAGATGGAGCAGAAGCCTGGTCACTCTGCAGCACCCCCAGGGCTCAGCCCAGGCTCCCCGGAGCCGTGTCCAGGCTGTGACCTCCCTGTTTCTCCCCTCAGGGCCCCCCAGGCTTTCCTGGAACGCCTGGCGCACCCGGACTGCCCGTAAGGACCCAGCACGGCTCTGCTCTGTGCCCTCTGTCGCTGCCGCTTGGTTTGGCTGTGTCCCCCCCTGTACCCCCTGGGAGCAGCCGCGGCCCCTTCCCTTCCACCCCATCTCCATCCTCCCATTTCCATCTCCTCCATCCCCATGCAGGGCACTCAGCGGAGCTGGGGTCTGCACGTTTGGGAATGACCTTCCTGAGCTCAGGGACCTGGTGCTGGCTCTCATTAGCCCCAATGCAGTTGTCACCGGTGCCCTGTGTCGGGGTCCTTTGCTGCTGCGGCACCCAGCTTGGTTCAGGGTTGTGCTCGACGTACTGGGGACCTGCAGCCCCGTTTTGGTGCCTGTGGCTCATTGCAGCTCCCACAGGGTGGGCTTGGGTGCACCAATGGCACCCCCAGAGACTCTCCTTGCGGAGGCCAGAAGGGGTCACCCCATGCAGCTGGAGCTGCCTGGGTTCATCCTCCCCTGATCCCTGGCTCCTCTGGGGTCAGCCAGCCTCCATCTCCATCTTCATTGTCATCTCCATCATCATCTCCATCTTCATCCTCATCCTCCTGCTCCTGCCTGTGCTCCCTTCTCGCAGGTGGTGGGGCCGTGCCGGTGGCTCTTGGAGGATCCTGCCCTCCTGCTCCTGTCCCCTTGTCCACTAATGTCACCGTAACACCACGGTCTGTGTGGGTGTCTGTGGGTCTGTCTCTGTGGTCCATGTGGGTCGTCGCTCTGCGGTGTGCCAGCGTGTCCTGTGCAGCCCCGGCACCGCGTCACCCCACTAACCCGCCCCAGTGACACGGAGCCCAGGGGCTCATGGCTGTCACCCATGTCACCCGTGCATGGGAGGACGGGGAGGCAGCGGGTGGCAGATGCTGGAGCTGTGGGCCGAAGCGTGTCCAGTGGCTGGGGTGCTGGAGCTGGGCACCCCACACAGCCCCCCAGGGCTGAGCTCCAGTGCTGCCCGTGGGTCCTGCATGGGGACATGGGCAGCAGTGACCTGTGTCTGGGTATGAACGTACCCGGGCACGCTCGGACATCGAGCAGGTCCTCCCCAGTGCCCGGAGGTGCTGCGCAGGCTGGGACCAGTGTGGGCTGGTGGAGATCCCAGTCCCTATGGGCTGTGCCCATGTCCTTGGCTGTGCTGCCGGGTGGGCACAGCCCTGGGCAGGGGCTGCAGGACCCCCCTGCAGCTCCTCTCCTCTCCCTCCCAAGGGTCTCCAGGGGGAACGTGGCCCCACTGGACTTGCTGGAGCCAAAGGGGAGCCGGTGAGTGGTGTGGGAGGAGGGGATAGGGGGGACATCGGTGCCCCGTGGGCTTTGGGCACCTGGCAGGGGCATTGCGGGTGGCTCAGCATCCTCCTCCTCCCGTGCAGGGACCTCCAGGGCAGCCCGGATACCCTGGCGCCACCGGGCCCCCCGGACTTCCTGTGAG